ATACATACATACATACACCATGGCTCGCTCTATCGACACCCACGATGAGATCGCTATCGCTGAGATCGTTGTATACACATTCCTCCTTTTCGGCGCCCTCTTCCTCTGCAGAACCCATGGCTTCTCTCGCAACGCTGGATGGTTCTACATCTGCATCCTCTCCCTCGCCCGTCTCATTGGCTCTTCCATGCTTCTCGCTACTATCCACGATCCTGACAACACAAACCTCTACATTGGCTGGATCGTCCTCAATGGTCTCGGTCTTGGCCCATTGATTCTCATTCTCCTGGGTCTACTTGATCGCCTCTTCAACACTATCAAGAGCCAGGGTGGCAATGGTGTTAATGCTCTCTATCAGCGTGCCGTCCACCTGCTGATGCTTGCGGCCATCATTCTCATCTCTGTTGGCGGTGCCAGCTCCAACTATACTCTTGACGGTGCCTCACCCACTATCAAGTACAGCACTGAGAGCAAAGTTGGTGTTAGCCTTATGATCGTCGTTCTTGTACTGGTTGTCGGCCAGTTCCTCCTCGCTCTTCGCAACCAATCCTACATTGTTGATGGCGAGCACCGAATTCTCATTGCAGTTGGCGCTTCTTTGCCGTTCGTTATTGTCCGACTCGCCTACACCTGCACTCTCATTCTGGGAGATCACAAGCAGGACGTCTGGATCTATCTCGGTGCTGGTATCCTCATGGAGATGATCGTGGCTATCATCTGTGAGGCTGTTGGATTCACCCTCAACAAGGCCTCAAAGCCTGCCGTCGTGCATGAAGAGGCTGGAAACAAGGCCACAACCGAGGCATAAAGGGGCAGACTTACAACACACATGTACAACTATGAAGCATATCTATGAATGGTTGAGGGTACAGAGGAGTTTTTCAGTAATTAGAAACAATAATGATTTGCTATTCCAAACACTTTCGTCTCTACCAAAATGCAGCGTCTCACATATATCATCTAAATCATCTATCTTGTCCAGAATGCCTGACCAGATATAGCAGTCATATACAACAGACTGCGAAAAGTATTGGTTCTCCAAGCCCACACAATCAGGCAGGGTATAAAAACGCATCAAATAAGCAACTCAAGAAAGCGTCCCACAACAGCAACCAGTAGGGCATTCCCAGCCTTACATGACCGTACAGCAAGCCTTCTCCAGCTTCTTGAAAATGATGGTAATGAGATCGTCGTTCTGCTCTTCCTGAGGCTGGTGATGCTGGTGTCCACCGTGGTGCTGGTGTCCGCCAGGGTAGCCGCCATGGCCTCCAGAGTGCGAGGGGGGAACAGGCTGTCCTCCCTGAAGGTTGATGATTATTCTTCCGGTGTTGTCTTCATCAGTCTCGTATCGCAGTCCGAGTTCCTGGCACAGCTCCTCAACCTTGGGCTTGAGCTTCTGCACACCACCAGCAGAGTGGTTTCCTTTGCCGACAATGGCGTACAGGTGTGTCTGGCCGTTGGCCTGATCGGAACGAATACGCTCCTCAAGAATTCTTTCGGCCTCCTCGACGAAAAGGCCGTGGAGATCAATTGAGTCTTCCCCTACGCGTCCAGCGGCGTTGTTCTCGCGGAAGATAAAATCAGCAGCTTGCTGGTTGTAGTCGTCCATGCGCGCGGCGTGCGCCTTGCCCTCGTTGGAGAGCTCCTTTGCTCCAGCGCCATCTCCATCTTCATATGCCTGTCGCGACTGCAGGAGAGATCAGTTATGTACTTGACAGTGGATGTATTGATAGATTGTGACGTACGCGCGAGAAGCAATCGTTACGCTTCTCTGCCTCGGCTCGCGCCAAGTCTCTCAATCGATCGTACTCTTGTTCAATACTGTCGTCATCGTGGGCAAAGGCTAAACGGAACCCGTTGTCAGCGTTCAACGTCGCTGGAAAGTTTGTTGCAGACAGAATTATCGCGTTCCCGCATCCGGCGCAAACAACGACCAGCTCGGTGCTACAGTGGAGGTTAGACCATTGACGTACCGCGACCGCCCAGACGTTGCATAGGAATAGACATTTTAGGGGTATTGAATGGATTCCAGCTGCTGATGTTTGTTTTACGTCCAAAAAGAAGTATATTCCGTCGCTGTTGCCCGTGGTTTTGGGCTTTGTCGGTGTCTCAAATCAGGATTGAAGCTTTGACTGACTGATGTTGTGTTGGCGATCTGCATGTGTTGGCAATAGTGGGCGCCGCCAAGGTACAGTCAAGGACAGGTCAGGTCAGGTACTTGTGCCAAGGCAGAGCAGATCAAGCTACGGATTATTTTTTTTCTTCACTCTGGACTAGCTACTAAGGTATAGTACTTTTACTTTTACTTTGACTTACTTGATTAATGCGAGGCCTCTCTATCCGTATCTACTACAGAACAAGTACGTACTGACAGACACTCTAGAACAACCTAGACCAACATTTCTAAAATAAGGTACCTATGCATTTACCCAGCCACTTCAGATTCTCTTCAGTAATTTTGCCACTTAACATTCAGAAATTAAAAGACAAGACGAATGCTGAAAATGATTCCTTTCCAAATGAGAAAAGAGGTTGACAGGAGTTGCTCAAGATTGTAGGTAATTCAGCTGGCGTACGATGAATACCGAGGGCCAAGACACATGCAGGTACGGACTGATAAGACAGTTAGTTAGATCTGCCCCAATCATATCAATCTCGTACTATATGTATGTGCTGTAACTCGTTGGTTGAGACAGTCACTGTATAGGCTATACTCATGCAAACCATGCAAAGCCTCCAAATACTACCGCAAACAAATATCAATTCAAGCTCCAAGCCACCCGATCCGAGGCTTGGTCACCGGAACAAACCCACCATACATAGAAGTGAATTCTATAGAGCTAATGAAAGACTCCAAGCCTGTCACCAATTGAGTTCTATTGTCGTTTACAGGATAAGCCTTCATTCTTGACACTGCGGCACTGGCCCCAAGGTTTGGGGAACGTTTGTTTGACAGCTTCGCCTCGAACACAGACCTTTACTTTACTTTAGACTTTCCCCAGGATCGCTATTCCTGAAGAATCGGTAGTTGTGTTGGTTTGGATCATGTTTGTGAGACCGGCAATAGCATTGTAGTTGGTGGAAGAAGATCTCTTCGGCATAGACCAACCGAAACCTTGGGATTGGAATCTTATTCGTGAGAAATGTTGATGTTTGGGTATTGTTTGCTTCTAACCAAGAATTGCGGTTGGTTAGGACATTCACAACTTTGTCCTCTCTAGATCTGAGATCAAACAGACAACTCAACCGCCCCAGCCGTCTCCATTGGCGTAACCTTGTATTCTAGATAGTATGCAGAGAGCTGCTTCTGATTGCGTTTGGCATAATGGAGGATACGTGGATCGCACTGGATGCAAGCCCTCGTCGCTTTCCGCCAGATTGTTGAGTTTAGGTTTCGGAGTTGATAGGGCAATCCAAGGGCTAGGGTAAGGACTCGGAATGCCCGTTGAGAAAAGGAAGCAGGCATCTTCTAACCGTTGAACGTGTGAAGCCTGACCGTACTGTTGTAGAAGAAGCCGAGGGTCTCAAGCGGAAAGCCTCAACAAGTGCGGACGTGAGGACCAACATATCTCAAGACGATATCACTTGATTAAGTTGTCGAGAAACTGTGTTGTGATGACTTGATAGACCTGCTTGATGAACGAGTATCACTTGTGAACATGAGACAAATGGATTTGCTAGGAGAACATCACCAGTGCAATAGTACACGTCTATTGCAAGAGAAGAACAGTAACGTTGCACCCTATAAATGCAAAATGTCCGTCGAGTGATGATGCCATCAGTATAGAGTACCATTGTGCCAAAACTCCGCAGATGATATGCAGGTCAACAGCAGATCGGAAGCGGAACGAGCTCGCCATGTGGTCACCCTGGGCATGTTTCATTCGAGAAAAATTAGAGTCTACCTAGAAAATAAAACATTGACTCCACTCAATTAGATGAGTTTTGTTCACCCTCAAGATTGGGTGGCTTTGGTCGTTGTGAAATTACTTTATTTATCGTGAAATTTGGGGTCCGAGGGCTTCCTCTGCTAGCAAGGGTTGGGATGGGTACGCTTCTGTTTGATGTGATACCGAATGGACTAGTTAGTATTACACGGATACCTCCCCTCTAGCAAACCGCAGTACTAGTAACAATGATACTTGATCGATGTATCATATGCATATTGGACATATTGAACGCAGTAAACCGTCCAGAAAGTATATGATGATCGTCACTCGTATGGTTTTCAATTTTCGAACTACCAAAACCGAGAACCCGGGAGCTTGGAACAAGGATAGGTAGAGCAGTGAGGATCTGAGGCCAGGATCTTAGCGAAAGAGCCGCTGCTTGTGTGTAGAAACAGGTAGATATCCGTATCTGTATCCGTAGTTCATAGATGCATTGAGACGGAACAGATGGAGACGAGTGTTTATCAACTTTGGCTAGCAAAGTCCCGGATCTCTGAGTGGTCAATATCTTGGTTTCAAGCACATGTGATCGTATAATTACTGTACAAGACAGTAAGGTGCTGGAGAGGCCTGGATCGCCATCATCATCCATCCATGCGTCCACCAAAACGCCAAAATAAATCGAAATCCAAATGGCGTAATCAAAAGGCCCAACACCTGCCAATTACGATGTCAACTTGTAGTAGGGGAGATGGTTGTGGCGTTGATTTGCTGGGTTCGCGACTCGTTCTGTTCGTCAACAGGCCAATTTGCTGACAAGCTTCTGATTAGTACAACACTCTGAACAGTACTGTATTCGTAAGGTGAAGTAAGGGTCAACATGAACGATAAAGCTTAACCGAGCGATTGGCTATCCGCATTCTGGGTACGGTAGATACAGCAGAGACTCCGAGAGTGAGATTGCGTTTCGGCTTGCTGGTCGTTATAGCTAGTCTATGTATCCGTATCCATAGGTCGGCCAAAACTGCATGTGAAGGAAGCCATGGAAGCAGGGAGGAAGCTTCTAAATTAAAGACAAGCCACAGACACGCACGCCCAGGCCTCTTGAAGACCCAGGATGATAACGACAATGACATGTGCTTTGCGTCTAGCTTCTGGATCTTGGGCGCTTCGTTGATGATCGACAATACTGCGTAGTCAAAACTCAAGAGTTGACACGAGACTAGTGGTAGATCTGATGATGGAGCCAAGAAGCATTGAGTGCGAATGTGTTCGAGCGCAATGCAATGTACAATCGATTCCCCTATCTCTAAGAACTGTTTGACTGTTGAACCGATTTGTAGTGCAGTCAAGGTAACTAGACTACGGGACGGAGAAAAGAATCAAGTCCGAAGACACACAGCGACGCAGGCTGTGCCGCAAATAAAGTGCGTGGTACAATGCTATGCGGGTGTAGCAGGTTCTTGTTCCTGTTGCCAGCCGCAGTAACGAGGCGTTCCCGACGGTATTTGCGCTGCGTGTATTTAGACTTCTGGGAACGCTAGCAAGTGTCAGAGCGTGGGCAGTCTTGAACAGAACAAGACTGCAGTTCGTGTCGAACCGTTCCGGTGGAAGGGAAAAAGCAACGGAACAGGGATTACGGCACAAGCAACTCCTTCTAGATGGCTTCTACAACCGCGCCATAATCTTCTCTTCCGCACAGAACCGCTACAGTGCTGGGTTGGTGACTGGAAAGACCCCTGGTACTTCTCGGGCGATCCCCCTTTCGTAGTGTCTGCGACGACCCTGACCAAAGACCCAGAAACTAGGAAGATCCCGGTCAGGAGACCAGGAGCTCGACGGTATTAAGTGGTTCAGGTGGAGCAGATAATAACAACTGCTTCAAAGCTAGCGGTTCTGTACATTATCAAACGATCATGAGCGAACAGGATGATTTGAGTTCGATTGACTTCAAAGAGTGCACAGAGAGCAGAGCGGCACTGCAGTGCGGAGAATATGGATACTCAGTTATCGTAGGACACGGCAGACAGAAAATCGGAGGTGGACGATAATAGAATAAGGCCGATTCGATTCGTTTGAGCGGGACGGTAAGCGCCTCGATGCAGTGAGCCGGCTCTTATCTCGTCGGTGCTGCGTTCAAACTTGAACTCAAGGAGTAATAATGGAGCAGAATAATTGAGGACGATACAATAAGTGGAGTGCGTATCAATGCTATAAACAGGCAATGGGAGTATAGCAAGCAGCGAAGTCAGCCGGAGAACCGAGGATGAAACATCTATTTCTTTAGTCTCATACTGTCGATGTTTGTTGATACAGCTGTTGTAAGTCAATTGACCAGCCACCTGGTACAGATACAGTGTTGCAGATATTGCATCGACGGTGGGCCAATCGCAAATCAAACACCAAACTGCTGACAGACAGTAGGACAGTTGCAGGAACATTCGCGGATAGTTATAGCTCCAGCGCACTTATAGTGATGGGGTGCCTGGGAACAACCGGTAAACTCGTCAAGGTGAGTCGTCGTTTCGAATCAAGTTCCTGCGTTGAGTTGAGCTGAGTGATTGGCCATGGATGCTGCAGGTTAAATGAAACTCGGATCCGAGCCGAAATGACCAAAGAAGTTTGAGTTGACTTCACTAGTGGGCATCCATTTCAGAGTCAGAGCCAGAGTCCCGCTGTTAACCAGGTCGTGGTTCTGTATGAAAGATGTTTCAAGCTGACTGCGCAACAGAGCGATGCTTCATTAATGCCATGCAGCGGCTCATCTCTCTTTCAAACCAACCAACAAACGGCCATCGGAGCGCAGCGTCATTGGGTAATCCTCTCGTCGTGCATCAAAGAGCTGTAACAAATGTAACTCCACAGTTCTTAAACTGCCCCCTATTTGTAGATCGACTGCTTCTCCGTACAGTACAGTACAGTTCTACAGGTGACTCTCTCAATAAACACCTGCGATGTATTCTGTGACTAGCCATTCAATTGTCTGCTCCCTGGCAGAAGCATACCTAGGTACTGTACATAGGCTATTATCATCCTGTCCGCATGACATCTTGGTTGGAATCGAACTTTCGAAAAAGCAATTAACATCTCGTCGTCCACAAGTCGGCGTTTGCATCT